TTACAGGGATCTGATTCAGGAGCGATAACGCTTTTTTGGCTGCCGCTTAACATCCGAGGTGCCTTTTCTTTTGACGGCTGACACTTGGACGTACAATTGAAATTGAAAGTCAAAGCTCACTGCAAGAAACGGCTGCAAAGATCACCATGTTGCACACGGATTCTTCTGGACGTGAATCGCCAATCAAACCAATTTTACTTCTGTAATATGACTTATTTATAAATGCAACAGGATATTCAATGAGACAAGACTGATTGGATGGCAATGTTATTTCAAAGGCGGAGCAAATTATCGCATTTTGATGAAAGACAATCTTTATTCTTTTGAAAAACACACACTGATGAATCAATCACAAATCAATAAAACCAGAAACATGCATTAAGATCAACTTGGATTTCTTCAAGTTATGTTGAAGATCAAACCCTCTTGACATAGCAACACAAGTGAGCGCTATGAATATACTTGATGATCTAAGAGTTAAAAGTAGTTGGGTTGTCTCTAACACACTGTGGTCTGCTGCCTATCTCTGTCTGCATTAATACAGTAACACCGGTGAAGAGGGGGAAGTGGTCCATCTTCTCTTAACCTATCCAACTTCAATTTTAAACGCAGCGAATAAGCCCGGGGCGATGCACAAGTCATAATGCATTCGACAAATATTCTCTGGGTGAAACATGCATTTATGAAGAGATGGCCTTTAGAGGAGGAATTCACAGAGCGTATGCTTAACAAACAATACACCCACTCATGAAAACGAGAGATAGAAAGTCAGTCTGCTCAAAGTGAGAATGAGTCACAGCTCAACTGAAACTTCAGCATCAAGACACCAGAAAAGATGTTCAACCCAAATTCTTGCACTTTTACATGCTTAATATCTGAAAACTAGACTGTGCACCACTGGACCAATGGGCACTTGAGTCAATACTAGCATAGCCGTTACTAGCAGCGCCGGGTGTGTTTGCATTGGAAGTATGGATCTGGCAGGTTTGTTGCAGGGCAAATGATGACATTGGTTAATGTGTTATCGATTGCCTGGTTGTTATGGCTGTAAAGTTGCTTCCCTATTTTCAGGTGTCACTGATTGCAAACTATATGCATGAGGACTGCATTAGTTTAAAACTTTATAAGATGTTCTAAATAGCATGAAAACAAATCAACACTAATCCACTTTAAAGTTACGAGAGTGATTTTTGGTTTGTTCTGCTTTTTGGTCTTAAATTGAGAGCATTTCGTTGAAAAAAATGTCCATTGTCTATTGTCAATATTGTAGAGATGTATAAGCACAGCTCACACAAAAGCCTAAAATGGGCCTTAAGGGCCTAGAATTAATACTCACCAAGTGCTAAATGTGAGTTAAAATTGGTTTTGGCGAATATATGAAACGGTGTCAATCGCCAGTTGGCTGGTAATATTTTTATGAATTCTAGAAATGCAATGTTGTGAGAAAAAGAACAAATGTGAACGACACTCGTTGATGGGCCAGCGCTGCATCGTCACGAAAGTTTAAGCCTTAACAATTGAAACATTCGAGCGCTAGAAGACGCGATTTGTTATTCGCTGTGTGGGAAGTTTTCTGTGCGCAAACATCCGAAATCTGCGTCTTATACAGCACACGAATACTGACTTTAACTCTCTTTCTCGTCGTCTTGCGCTTGAGAATGCCGTATTGGCGAGTATCCTTATAAACATTGTAAGTTATGTCTTTTTAGTGAACATAAACAGTTGAGAAAGAAAAGGCATGTGTATCAGTATATTGGATCAGTGCATTATCTCTTATATTGACAACAGCTGTCCATAATCTTAATCAAACAACCAAAGACAAAGAAACTGCTCTTGACTGAATAACTTTTGTAACTAGATTAATCTGTGATTAATTAATACAGTGTAATTTTACATTTGATTACTTTATTCAATTTCTGTACCTGAAAAATTGTGAATTTTCAGAGGTATCTAAAATTTTGGAGTGTTTTTGCCAAAACTCAATGTATATAATTATATATGATTCTGCCAACCTACACTAAAGAATGCCGGGTTATTTCAACCCAAATTTGGGTCAAATATGGACAAACCCAAATGTTGGGTTAAAAATTTAATTAAAAAATGTACAGTTGAAAGTGAAAGTTGAAGTTGGGTTAAATTAAATTTTTAACCCAATTTGGGTTTGTCCACATTTTACCCAATTTTGGGTTAAAACAACCCAGCATTGTTTAGAGTGTAATGATAAAAGATGTTGGTCACAACTGAAATCCTGACTCCTCCAATGGGATTTTTATATCAAAGGCTAAAAACTGGGTAAAAATAAAATAATAAATGAAAATAATATTTAGATTTATTCACTTATGAATTCTGCATATCCTTTGCTAAAAAAAAACCTCATCCAGTTTGTTCTGGTTTTGGTTTCACATACAGTACATGCACTGTTCTATACGATTGACGGTTTCATACTTCACATACAAGTATGAAAAAGCTCATGCGTGGTTCAGGAATGCAGCATGTAGCATGTTTGTGTGTTAGCGGCAGGAAATGATAGACACTTATCATGGATGGCCTAGTTTTTCAGAACAGTTTCCGGTTCATGCGACAGCACTGTAAACCACTTCACGCAAACTCTCAAACGTTACATATTAATGCAAGACCTCCATACATGACCTTCAATTGGGGCCTCTCAAGAATGTTGGAGAATATTGCATTATTAAAGCTGGAGCACATAAAGAGGGCCATTGTGGTGGGGAGAGCAGGCTTTCCCCCTAAAATTTTGTTTCATAATGTCCACTTGCACAGGATCATTTTTCAACGTATGGAGTTGGCTTGGATTACTCTGTTCTCCATTCGCCGGCTGATCTTTTCCATATGCTTAGAGCCACAAGCTTAACTCTGTGACACCCTAGTATAAACACCCATCAGCAAATTATGAGTTACTCTCTGTCAAGATGGCTGAATTTAAAAGCTCCATCACAGGCTGTCTTTTAACAAAAAAATCTCAAATGCTTCTAAACAGTGTGGTTATTAAATAACAATAGGTAAAAGCCTCTGTTTGCCATTATATAGCCAACGTGATTCATTTCCCACATAATATTTTTTTTTACAAAACATGAATATAACGTTTTTTTAATAACTAAGAAGAAATTAACCCTTTTCACATTTCTGTTTCTCAGAAGTGGAAGTCATTAGTTGGGTAAACTTCTAAAGCGGTAAATGAGAGACGACATTAAATATATTTTTATGTTTCCATTTCCTCAAATAGCAAAAGAAAAACTCCACTATAGTGTTTTCAAGTCTTTCAAAAGAGGAAAAAAATAGAGAGATTGGCAGTCAGAAGAGAGAAAGATGTAAATTTGCTGTATTGGAAACACCCTCACAGCAGCATTAGTTTTTATAAGGTAATATAATACAAAGTAGGCTATAGTGATATATATTTACATACATTTTTTTAAAAATTAAAAACTTTGCGTGATTTACGATGCTGATGACCGTTAAAACGCGTCATCACAGTCTGAGAAAAGGGTCCATTAACTACTTTTAAAAAAAAGTGGCGGTAAAACGAAAGACGTTACTGGGCCGCTGACTGAGGATCAATAATCCACACAGCTGATTGGTTCCTGTATACTATCATGTGCAAATTCATATTTAGTCTGTTTATCGGAAAATTACAGGAAATATTCGCCAACATCGCCATTCTAGATCAGATTTGGTAGGGTTTAACAACGGCCGCTGAAACTTCACGATGTTATCTATTGCTTGATTGACACGTGACGAAAGCCAGCGCTTAAATACGTCGATTCAGTTCTGAGTTCTAAGTAAACAGAATATGAATTTGACAGTATGCGCCTATGCGGATACAAGATCACAAAAGATAAGGACTACACTGTTATGAGAACTTCCCAGTAACACAATGAACCCAATTAAACAAAACATCGGCTAATACGACAGAAAAAAAGTATCATAAACTAAAACTGAATTCTATATTATAGCCTAAACAGCTGCATTACGCACATAGCCTACCATCAAAACTCACAAAGCAATAAGGGATCAACGTTTATTTTAATTATTCTTAATTCACGCTATGACAGATAACTGGAGTGACGAATAATCCGTAGACAAAATGAGGATCGGGGGTGTAAAGTGCATCTTTAACCTGCTAAAATCTTGTCCTAGTCAGCCTGACGCTGAATGCTCGTGCACATGCTATTTTCAGTCAGCAGTACATATCTTATACATTCAGACCCGTTATTAGTCACGCGCTCACTGGCAAAACTAAACTTAACACAATAAGGCATTGCACACATTTTCCGGTTTAAAATATGCTCTTATGTTCTTTGAGGAAAAAAATCTAAGTGCACTAGTATCCACCGTCTCTTTCTACTTGTTTCACAGAACAAATGCATAAATCATCGGAGAAATCCCGCTATAGCCGAGTTCCCCGTAATAAATAAATAAATAGCTAACGTGCCAAAGAACTAATTAATTGTTCGCTACTTCTAACACGTGCAATTGCAACTACGTCACACAGGCTTGCAGTTCTATCAACAAAGCGATTATGAAGCGAATTCACATCCAGACAGAAAGAAAGGAAAGCTGCATGTCTCCTATACTATAAGAGCAGCCGGACGGGAGATCTCCATCTTCCCTCGGGAAACAAGCTGTGTCTCAGTGACTTTATAATGCTTTTCATGTGCAATGCCACATTTCGCTAATTTTGCATGAATGTGCCAGCAGTTACAGTGATGCATTAGTGCAAGTGCACAATTCCCGAGATGCTGAAGTAAGTTTGGGATGCCCGGTCCGGAGATGCCGAGGTTTCGCGCGACCCGACAATGCGCACTGAAAACTAACACATTCACCATACTCAGCCTACACTTACTAACATGATGTGCATGATTGCAACAGATGAAACTGTCCTGAAGTGAATGAAGCAGGTTATTTCCCATCTGGGAAAGAGAAACTGGTGCGTAAAGAAGAAAAAGAAGAAGAAGAAGCCAACGCATGGTGGGGTAAATTACCTTGTTGCAGTGGTAATAGTCCAGAGAGGAGAGGCTGGTGTCGGTGGGTAATGTACAGGAGCCCACGCTTGAAGGAGGTGCCGGGTAAAATCTCACATCCATCGCCCGCTCCGCTAGACTGAAGGCATGGAGAGCAGCTCGCGCTTCTGTTCTCTCTCTCTCTCTCTCTCTCTCTCTCTCTCTCTCTCTCTCTCTCTCTCTCTCTCTCTCTCTATTGTTAACCCAAACAAAAAGCAACAGAACGACTGAAAGAGAAAGGGGTTGAGCCTGTGTTCATGCTCTCCTCACATCCGTTCGCGGGATTTGTTCTGCTCCATATGAAAACGCGCGCGCGGTGATGCTCGCTGGATATGTTTTGCGATTATTTACGCGCTTGTGTTGAGCTTGACAACATCTCAACGCAAAATAATGTTAAAAGGCGTAAAACATGATAATAGGTTAAGTGCAAGTTAATTTTTTTTTAAGTCGTTTAAGTAGCTAGGTTGGAATTCTTTTTTAACAAAATATGTGTGCTTCTACAGTAAAATGCTATTAAAATGATGTTTTAACATAATTTTACATGTAAAAAGTATATTACTCATATAAAAATAGATATATTATTAGGCTACATAGCACCCACGATCCACTGAAATATCGTCGGTTTATTTTTACGCCAAGTTTCCACAGTTCCAACACGGCAAAAAGAAAATAAAGCTGTATATAACTTTGAGAGAACCGAAATCTCCTGCTTTGTGAGCGCGTGCTCGTGGGGTTCACTGACTCTGGCTCTGTCAGGCGACCTCTGCCGATGGGAGCGGGGAGGAAAAGAATGGATGAGATGAGAAACATTTGAGGGTGGACTTCACTTCACATTGGATAAATGCTTCACAAACAACGACCTCAAAAAGTATTTGGACACTTAAAGTTGCATAAAATCTCCCCGACATAAGATAACCGTTAACATTATTATAAAATAGCTGTAAACGCTCTTTGTCTGTCAATCATTTTTGCACCCCGAGATAGATAGATAGATTTAATTTAATGTACTATGTTATGTATTATGTGGTCTTTCTATCATCTATCTATCTATCTATCTATCTATCTATCTATCTATCTATCTATCTATCTATCTATCTATCTATCTATCTATCTGTCTGTCTGTCTGTCTGTCTGTCTGTCTGTCTGTCTGTCTGTCTATCTATCTATCTATCTATCTATCTATCTATCTATCTATCTATCTATCTATCTATCTATCTATCTGTCTGTCTGTCTGTCTGTCTGTCTGTCTGTCTGTCTGTCTATCTATCTGTCTGTCTGTCTGTCTGTCTATCTATCTGTCTGTCTATCTATCTATCTATCTCTCTGTCTGTCTATCTATCTCTCTGTCTGTCTGTCTATCTATCTCTCTGTCTGTCTGTCTATCTATCTCTCTGTCTGTCTGCCTGTCTATCTATCTATCTATCTATCTATCTCTCTGTCTGTCTGTCTGTCTATCTATCTCTCTGTCTGTCTGTCTGTCTGTCTGTCTATATATCTCTCTGTCTATCTATCTATTTATCTGTCTGTCTGTCTGTCTCTCTGTCTATCTATCTCTCTGTATGTCTGTCTGTCTATCTCTCTGTCTATCTATCTATCTATCTGTCTGTCTGTCTGTCTGTCTGTCTATCTCTCTGTCTGCCTGTCTCTCTGTCTGTCTATCTATCTCTCTGTCTGTCTGTCTATCTGTCTGTCTATCTGTCTATCTATCTATCTCTCTGTCTGTCTGTCTGTATCTATCTATCTATCTATCTATCTATCTATCTATCTATCTATCTATCTATCTATCTATCTATCTATCTATCTATCTATGTCTCTGTCTATCTCTCTGTCTATCTGTCTGTCTGTCAATCTATCTATCTCTCTGTCTGTCTGTCTGTATCTATCTATCTATCTATCTCTCTGTCTGTCTATCTCTCTATCTGTCTGTCTATTTCGATGGCTAGTTTTCTGAGGGATAATCTGTCCAATTACACGTTTCCTTTTCCATGCAAATTAATTTATCTTATTTTGAGCTGTGCATATGCGCCTGAATCTTACAGCAGAAGTCATCATGCCATTTTTAAAGAAAGAGAATCAAACAGGGAACAGAGAGAACAACACTTTCCTTCCCAGCCTTTTAAGAGCCAAAGGAAAATAATGTAAAATGTTCCTGATGAACAGACTAACGAACTCGGCTGAAAACTGTTCGTGTTTTCTGTACATCTGCACATTCTTCACTCTAACAGCAGCTCAAAATGTGTGAAATGAGTGTGTGTGTTCACGTCTAAGGCCACTTGTGTGTGTGTGTGTGTGTGTGTGTGTGTGTTTGTGAGTGAGCTGTCATTGTCATCGCAGTAGGACACTTGTTGTCTCTCCACGACTGTGTGTGTGTGTCAACATGCTTATTGTACCACATGCAGTCAGTGTGAGTGTGTTGGAGAGGGTCCTGGGGTGGGAACTTGTTTAATAAAAGCCACAGATGGAGAACTCAACAGGCATGTGGAGTAGACGCTCGCTAGCGCTCAGACAACATATGAGTTCATGCATTGCATTTATATGCATGCACATGCATGTTTTATGTATCTGTGTGTGTGTATATTTAGGGGTTAACAGGCTCAGGGATTCCATTGCATCACGGCTTTGGAATGTGTAGTGCCTCCCTTCCCAGCATCCTCTTGTGTTCAACAAAGAGCAGGGACAAAAAAACTTTGCTAGTGCAAAGATTTGTTTATGAAGGACTGATAAGCTGCAACCCAACGACCCCCAGAAACCAATTCTATACCACTTTAATTGATCGAATCTCACAAAACCTGTCGAGAACACGTCCGGATCATTATTATTTCACCCCAAAATCATAAGAAAGAAGCTGAGGTAACTATAAGTAAACTGTTGATTCCCCAAAATACAGAACATTGTTATTTTCTGGTGTTTCAAAACTGTTAGTTTGAGACCTGACCAGGCCGACGTAGAAACAACCAATGACGTGATGTTATTATCTGTATATCGACGAATGGCAGAAGGGGATGTGGAAACCTGTTCGGAAACAATACAAACATAATCATTTTTGCAATTGTTACTAAAACACACACACATATATATATATATATATATATATATATATATATATATATATATATATATATATATATATCCATTATAGTTATCCAAATTGGTGAATTATATATATTAGAGGTATTAGTGGTGTCAAATCAATTAATCGCTATTAATAAAAGTTTGTAAATATAAAATATGTGTGTATTGTCATCTATATATCTATCTGTTTATCTATCTATCTATCTATCTATCTATCTATCTATCTATCTATCTATCTACATATATACCATCTCTATATACACCCCCCCCCCCCCCCCCCACACACACACACATATATACATATATACGTATACTGTATACACATATATACGGTTTATTGCAGTGACATTATTTTTCACTAATTTGCATTACTATATAATAGAAAAATTGCATTCTCATTAAATTGATGCAAAAACACTGACATATTATTTAAATTGTAAACTTTACATGTACAGTTTTGCCTTTAACTTATACTAGTTTCATAAAAAATGCATTACGGTAATGAGAAATGAGGATAATGAAAATAACAAAAAAGTAATATATCCAGACATATACAGTAAATGTGCTTAAAACTGTATTTTTTTTATGCAAAATTAATACTTATAATTTTTTCCCATTGATTTGGGGGTGAAATGTGACCTAGATGTGTTTTTCATGAGATTCATCCAATTACTCCAGCACTTAGCCAATTAACAAAGCAGATGACACTTGAAAAAAAAAAGCGCACGTATGTGGGTCACAAAAAAACCTTCGAAAACAGTCAAAAACGGCAGTCATTACCTTCTTTACAGTAAATGAACTACACACTCACACACTTGAGCGTAACACAAACGTGTGTGAAGAGAGAGTCGGCGAGTACGTTCTCCCATAATAAGCGAGGGCCGATAAATAAGGGTGGTTACACAAGTGTTATTAAATGTCAAAATGATTACTGTGTCAGTGAACGGCTGGCTTATTCGAGCTGAACACGTCGCGTTGAGCTCTCGTCACAAACCACCTCAATGAACAAAAAAATCCACTCTTATTATAAACTTGTGTCCCGACACGTTAAACCTTTTCCTCACATTTATTGTTTCTGAATGCTTGTAAACAGAATTAATTTCCCTGACTGCAGATTTATGAGTGCAAGCTTCACATTTATAAGAATACTTCACCTAAAAAGGTCATCATTTCCTCGCCCACATGTTGTTCCAAACCGGTATGACTGTCTTTCTTTCTTTCTTCTGTGAAACACAAAAGGAGAGATTTAGTAGAAAGTTCACGCTGCACTTTTCCACTCAATTTTAATGTATAGTTAAAACGTTATCAAAATGATTCCAGTGCATATGGATCCGCGGAAACGTCAAAAAATTCTGTATTATGCAAGTAATTTGGTGTAAAGAAAGATTATGCGGCTGCGCACATACATATTCAAACACGCACATCTATAGACTAAACACGTTTTTGAAGTTTACATGGAGATGATAATGTTTTCAAAACTTGTACCTTGTTTCAAAGTTTGCGTTCTCGAGCACCAAACGCTGGTGTGTGCAAATAAACGTCCAGAACACTGTTCTCGGTTAAACGGTGTCGTGTTAGCGGCCCCTAAGTTAATAACTAATGATCTTTAGCTGGACAATAACTTTATTCTAGAGCTGCTGTAAAGCCTAAACTATCTCTGCTACTGTAATCTCCTGTTATCACTGTAAAGCTGCTTTGAAACGATCTATATTGTTATAAATGAAGGCCATAGACTCGACTAAACTCAATGCAAGCAGAAACTGTGAATAAAAGTACACAACGCTTTGATGCTTTGTGAGGGAACGGGTCTAATTGCTGATTGATTCTGGTAATCTTCGACTCATGAACTCAATGCACTGTGTGTGTGTGTGTGTGTGTGTGTGTGTGTGTGTGTGTGTGTGTGTGTGTGTGTGTGTGGGCATGAGGTTCAGAGCCACGGTGGAGGAAGTGTGAGTACATGATGACCGACTTCTCTTCTTTTGGGGTGAACTATTCCTGTAAGTGCTTGTTTAGGTTTGCTAGCTTGTGTGTGTGCTTGCTTTGGGGAGAAAGTATCGGCTTCAGTACCTGTGTGATTTTACAGGATCTTCATTTCATCCTCCGTAACCCGTTCGGCCCCTGAACATCAGTAATG